TTAACTATCAATTATTTATAGTTGAACTTTAAAGATATATCAGAATACATCCTCTTTACTAAAACCATCTTTGAAAATAATCAACATAAATTTATATTAATAAAATTCCCGGAAAATTGTTTATTATACAACTTGAGTTTTCATATAAAGGTAGACCACTAGGGCAGTTGGCATATCTAAGTTTGGAAAACTAAATCAATCTAAAAGACGAGAAAAATATTTGCAAAACATTTGAGCTAATACTTGATACGTAAACTCTGTTAGAAATAATACGAAGGATAAAATTCTATGATGAAAATAATTACATTTCTTTTCGTTTTTAATAAAAAATAACCTAATGTTAACTATTTTTTATAGTTTCAATAATTTTATGTATAATATAAATTGTAAACTTTAGTTACAAAAAACATAATACAATAAGAATGTGGTTTCTACATCAAAGAATTAAATTATCTCTATAGGTCAACAGCAGTGGTAATTTGTGTGAAACAGGTGTAACAATAATTGTTATATCTACTGAATTGTATTGTCACTTAATGACAACAACACATAAAGTAAATTAACTTTCTGAAACTAACAAATTAAAAATGTATAAAATTTTATACGTTCAAGGATAAAATAATATAGTTTTAATTTAATTATTTGTTTTTTCTTCCACATTTAAATTATTGGTATGTAAGTAATTTCTAATAATAATACGTTAAATGAATGGTTCTTCAAAATATTCTAAGAGCTACTCAAATGTTATTTATAGCTCTTTTTCAGCAATTATCTTAGTTGTTATTGAGTAATGTAAAATAAAACCAATTGCTATCTCGAGATGATCGTTAAAAAAAAAAAAATAGCGCTCTTTATGTTTTATAATGTTTCAAAGTTTTTATTCATTAATCTTTAAATCGTTAAAATGAAATATTTAACACATTTTTTTAAATTTGATTAAAGCGATCGGAGATATAATATTAAAAAAAACAACACTCTACGTGTGTTATCTATTTAAATAGTTATAAATGCACTTATCCGTAATCGTGTTTTTTGTTAACTGATGACTTATCGAGGTACTTCAATAGATAATATAATAGATTAATTTTCAATAGATTATTTCTACACTTATACATCCAACAGGTACAAACAATTTCATAATTTTAGCTACTTTTTTTTGTATGATTGGTAGATTGTACAATTGGATGCATCGATTTAATATGAATTTACCACATTTAATCTCAAATTCAATGAAATTTAAAAACAAAAAATAATTCAAATAAAATGTTCTTGAAATATATAGCATAGTCGACAATATTCACTTGTAGTATAAATAATAATAATATATTACCCTAAGTATATGTAAATTTTTTTTTAATTAAACGTAGTTGGAAAAACTTTTAGATCTTTATACTATATTCGAATCAAGTCTCTTATCTATATTCAAAACACAGTTACAATAAATGCACAACACACTTGTAAATTAACAGCAATAGTATTCATATAATTACATGATGTAGCCACAACATTAAAATAATTGCGTTCAAACTTCAAAGTAACGTTATATTTTAAACTCTAGCAGTAAACTATATAAAATTATTATTATAATTCTAATTTAGTAATGTCGTAACATATCTACTTAAACTACAAATATCCACGTAAACGGTCAAATATACTTAAACTGAAATGGTTCACATTACGCTTAAATAGAGTTGAATCTATTAAGTGCAATAAAGTCCGTAAAATAGATAAACACTAAATTTACAATAAAAATTGTCAGAACAGTAAATTATTGTAATGTTAAGAATTTTAGATTTCGTTAAACTATCTTACAAAATGAGCATAACAATTGACTGCTCTAATACTATTATTATTATTCAACTATTTAATATATAGTATATATTATATCATTTTATTTAGTATATATTATAAACTAAGTTAAACTATTAAAAATGTATAACAAAGTAATTCTCGAGTCAAGAGTCAACAGTTATAATTGTAAATGAATATTGTACACTATATCAAGAAAAAAGAATATGATTTTATACTATTATAATAAACTTTAAGTTACATGGTAAATTATGTGGTAACAACTATTATTTCACTACATGGAAATTAAGTTCATATTGAGAGTAAACTGTATTATATCTAAAATGTTCATAATACTTATTATTTTTTCCGATAACATTTTAATGTTAAACATATGTATCAGAATAAACTATTAAAAAAATTTCCATTATATAAAAATAAAAAAATATAATAATAATAATGAAATGAAAGTACGATGTATATTTTTCAATGATCAAAATGAGCTCTCAATGATGAAAGGGAGTATTAATAAATTTAGGTAATTTTTTAGAAGATCTAATGTTGGATAAAACAATAATATAATTCCATAACTTAATTTATTTTACTTGAAAATTTATTTGCTCCTTACAGACTCAAAATGAGGAAGCATTTTATCATTTAAATTTTTTTGATTACATTTTGAATGAGTAATTTTTTATAGTTGTATCGTTTAAAAGTTATTGTCATTTATAATATAATAAAAAGTAATCCTGATTAAAATTTTATCGGGACATTTCAGAAAGTAGATGATCTGGGTAAGCGGGGAACGATAGAAAGATGTTTCCGCAGAGATTATAATTAAAAGAGGGTGGAGGTGGTGGTCGTACTGTAGTGAGACAAAGATAACGTAGGACGAAAAAACCACAACCCGGAGCCGATGACTATCAGCCTTGTTCGGTAACAACGGGCAGAGATTTAAAGATGAAATCGCAGAACAGAGGAGTGTCGTCCAATAATGTTATCAGCAGGATAATGTGAACGCGCTGCGTCCCCGCGCTGGCGGGTCTAATCTTCACGATTCATCTGGGGAGTCCAACCGAGATGATAGAGCACGAACTATCAGACATCATCAAGGGCACAAACCTATATAACCAGTCTGCAACTCGTCTGTATTACTTACATTTATATACATAAAATGCGTTATATTATTATCGCGACTACGTCAAGATAAGTCACAGGACCCGATGTGTGACATATAACGTTCAAACTTACTACCATATATTATAATGATAACAAATATAATAACAATACACATGACAAAATAATTTATATCTCGGCATCGTATCGTAAAATCCGCTTTACTTGGTACATGCAAAACAAATATAAGATAAAAACGACGAATGATTAGGATAACAGCTAATAAAACGACGAAATTGGTTTCAACGATATTACAGTAGTTTTAGTTCAATACATTATTTCCGTTAATTAATAATTTATATTCAACGAAAACAATAATTACACATGTTCGATCTAAATAAAAAAACATACCATTGAAATGTTCTTCAAAACGAACTACGTTTCAACACAAAAGCAATAAACCTACAAAACTCAGAAATGTTTGTATTTACAAGTCGCCAGACTTAAATAAGAGAATTGTTTTCAAAATTACGAATATAAGTCTACAAAAAATATCAAATAAATTTTTTTTTAAATTAAGTAGTACCTGTTTAGCCAAGTTAGTAGAACTAATTTAAATAACAAAATTTACATAATAACTCGGTAACATAAATATTTATGCAGATAATTGATCATAATATTTTCACTATGGTACCGTATTAATATGATAGTACCATATTATAAGAGATTTTAAATTTCATTAATATTGTTTATCATTTTTATACCATTTATTTACCGAATAATTAAACACTCATGATAATATTCTCATAGAAATTTTTTTTAAAAATACTAACACAGTTTTTAAGTAACCTTCTCTTTAAAATCAGTGCCTGAAACGTTTGGCTACTTGACAAACATGAGTTTAAATAATTTAAACTTTATTTGATGGATTTTCTAAGAATAATCATACTTATAGTTAAATGATTTTTATTAAGGTTTTACGAACTAAGTGTAACAAAATAATGACGTTTATTGAGAGCCCAGTATATGGTCTACAGATTTTTGATACCAGCAATAACAAGTTTTTAATTTTTTCATTCTGGTTAAAGGATTTGTACAACAGATAAAATCTCTATATGGGTAGTTATAAATTCTCTTTATGAAAATTGGACCTCACAAATCCTACGTTATCTCAATAATGATCAATGATCTTAATCGAGGATTTCTGAAACAACTATTCAGGTTTTTATTAAATGCAATGCACGTCGAATAAAAATGTAATTACTTAGTTTGTCATGATATACTATTAATAATTATCGAATAATTAAACAATGAGCATTCATTTTTAACTTTATTGGTTAATTAAGAGATTACTGATAAATGCGTTTTAAACTAAAGAAATCTTATTTAGACATTTTTTTAGACAGGAAACAAAAATAAATCATAATAATTCTTGGATTTGAGTCTAAATTAACTAATCAATAAAAATTGAAAATTTATTTTTCAAATAATTATTGTAAAAAAATAAAATATGTTGGAAATAAATTTTTATGTTCCCTTATAAAGGAAAATTATTTTTTGAGTGAAAAACTTAAATTATGTTGTCCATAATTTCAATTTTAATTTTTGTAAATTGGCCCTTTTAGACACAACTCCCAAAATTATTCTAACATATTTTTAATTTCCCAAGAAAATGTCTTGGTACAACACAATGCTTTGAAATAATATTTAATAATAAATTATTTATAACCTGTGCTCACAATTAACGTGCATGTGATAACACAATTGGTAATTATTAATCAAATAAAATTTATGACACTATCAGAGATTTTGTATTATCGACATGTTATGAGTAAAGTGTAATTAATTGATTAAAAAATTTCTGTTGTCCTTTGATTAAGAAAGTAAATTTGAGAAAAACGCAATCGTATATTAAAAATAAATGTTTTTATAATTTTAATCAAACTTGAGAAAATTTATTATTTAATTAGTGGAAAGTTATTGCATTAAAATATAAAATTATTGAATAATATGACACTATTTAGGAATAAAAACTAACGAAGTATAGCAATTTTTGTATAAGTATTCCATAATTCAAAATATTAAGGAAAACTTACGTTTTAATGGTTTTGGATTACTCTGTTTTCTCCTGGACATGTTTAATATACTGAAATTCAATGTCAACAGTGAATGTTAAACGTCATTTCTTAGGTCACCTTTCCAAGACTTTTTTGAACAAAAAAACAAAAACACTATCAATTTTGACTTTAAGTATCCATCGGAAATGTATAATTAAACACATATATTTTAATTTGAATTAAAAATTCGGTCACAAGAAAAATAAACCATAAAATGAAAAACGAAATAAGATTGTGAGCGCACGTTTTGCTTAGTACAAGATGGCGTTCCAACAAAAACGAACCGCACGAGTCAAACGCGGCAATGCGACTAAAATCTGCTCTGGAGAGCGACACAGTCAACGGCGGGCCGACGGCCGCGGTGGACTATAGATAAGCGACTTTCCGTTATCAGCCCACAAATGAACCCACATAATATATTTTTTATATTAAATAAAAAAAAAATATAAAACATTGCATATAACAAACGTTGAGTTATCAACTACGTAGTTGTCGTTTAATCTAGATATTAATTGATAAAGTATAATTAACAACCATAATACAGTTCCATACAAACTGTTACCATATATATTAATTAAAATATTATGTCTGCTTAGACTTAAATTAAGAGAAAAATTTGCATCAAAATATAACCATTAAAATTAATTTATATTTAGTGATCACAATTAACTATGATTAGAATCAACATTGGCAAAATGAAGCTTTGGACCCTCAACGAAAAAAAGTTTACTAACCCCCAATTATGTTAAAATGTAAAACGTATAAGCAAATTCGAGAAAGAAAAGGAAAACTATTTTTCTCAGTAAAAGATTTAAAAGGAGATAATAACATATATTAACATGTATTATGCATAAGCGGAATTTGGGTTTAGCTCTCAAAAATTCAGAAAAATTTGTATCATTTAATATATCAATGTTATTGGCGAGAAAATTTAAAATTAGTTCGAAATTGTTTTTACACACCACTTTGATATTATATAAAGAGATATGGTTTTGATAACCCATTCAAATAGACAAAATAAAATAATTTCAGAAATATTTATTTAAAAGTTTTAATTGTACATATTTTATTGGGCAACATAAATGTATAATATATAAATATATATATATATATATATATTAATTAATTTGTTACAGAATACAAAACGATAACAACTTTTGAATTATTACTATTGAAGTTATTAACTTTTTTAAACTATGACAGGAGGAAGAGTGCGTCTGAGAAATGTCTAATGTTAAAAATAGTAACTTTTTTTTAACTGTTTTACAAGTGTCTGTCTTCCAGTCTACGTTTAAATTTTAATTGTCCAAACTTTCGAAAAGCTGGTCCAAAAGTTGTTAGCGATTAAAGATTTTTAAATTTATATTCACATTAAATAAGCAAATATTACCATTATTATTATTATCATTATTGAAAAAATATAAAATTAGTGCTATTTAAAGCACAATAAGTATATGTTGCCATATAATTAAATAAAATTGACACCTATATAAGGTATAAAAGGATGACTAAAAGAAAAGCTAAATAATCTATAAATCAAGATCTAAATGTATTTGAAAAGAAAGAAGAAAAATTTTTCGATTTTATGTAGATTATGATAAAATAAAATAATATTTATAATTTTCTAAATATAGATTATTTTTCAAGAAATGATTAATTCTTTAATATAACAAACCCACTTTAACACATTAAATTAATTTCTTTTTTATGAAACACAAGAAATTTCAAAAAAACTTTTTTTTATTCAATTTTTAGTAGAAATTTTTTTACTTGCTCGTAAAAAAAAACTAATAAGGCTAATTTATTAAAAAAGAAAAATAGATTGCTATTGATTTTTTAAGTTATTTGCTTAGCAATAGATATTTTTCTCAAAGGCCCATTTTTGTATTGAAATTATTTTATTTGCAAAAATAATATTAAAAATTTGACAATAACTATAATTGAGTGGAGGGAAAACATAAAGGACCTTAGCTGTTCTACAGAATACCACGTACAATATAATGTGAAATAAAAATGGTATACTGAATACTAGATAATATTTAAAAATAATCTTTTGTTATTAAAATATATAATTTGGAAAAAACATATCATCTTCATTTTGTTTAAATCGTTAAAGCTATAATTTCATCAATGGACTCCAAAAATCATTTATAAGGCCTTAGTAGCCTAAGTATTAACAAGCATCTTGAGTATATTTAGAATTATTCTAAGATATTTATAACAATATAAATTTGGCTAAAAAAACATAGGTTATTATTTGTTAAATTAAAATCATTTTACGTATTTCAGAAATTATATTTTGAAAGTTAATATATAATAAAGTGGTGTGGTATAGATTATAATTATTATTATCATTAAGATTTCTGAGCAGCATTATTTTAAGTAGTAAAAGTATAAGTTTTGAAGTTTCTGAAAAATATTTTTATAAGATTTATGTCTATAATTTTGCGTTGACACAAGTAAAAGTTTTAATGTTTAGTGAGGCTAACTTGCATTAATGTTTTTTTTTTTGTAAACTGATGTGGCATTTAATAATAGTAGTAGTGGTAGTGATAACAGAAAGAATTTTACCGGCTCATTTGTCAATAAGTAAAAGTGGTTTTAAAAGTATTGCGTGAAGTGGTCACACTGCAAAATTGCCCTTGCTATCGCTACAGCTGCTATAGGTCGTAATGCATTATCGAATTTGTAGTAACTTAGGTATCTAGTATTTGTAATTCGTTTTTCGTCCTTTTTTTTTTTTTTACCTGAACTTCAAGACACATCTGAAAAATGTCGACAGCGTTTTCATTTTTCAAAGCAGCATCAAAGTTCGCGAAAAACCATAAAGTAAGTATATTTGTTGTATAGTTACTTACATTACACATTACTTAATTTCATTAGAGTGTAACTTTGAAATATATCTCATGTGATATCGTCTTATGAGTAGGTATGAACTTGCCATAAACTATTAAACTAAATTAGATAAGAATTAAGTTAAGATTTTTTAAGTGTACAATTACTTGGTTTTAGACATACTTTTATTAATATATTGTCTTATTCGGTAATTAAATAAAGTAGTATATAAATTTGTTCATTACATAAGAATGTGTAATTCTTTTTATTTGATTTGGGGGTTTAAATAACTAAAGTTTTATTAATTATGTTAAAAAAATTTATTAGACTTTGTTTTAATTATTAAGTTAATATATATTTAACTTCTTTTTTAAGAAGTGATATTTATTTAAATCTATGCTAACTGCTTATTAGTTAGGTCTTTTATAGTAATTTTAAGATTCTTACATAGCTTTCTTATGTTTTAACGTATAAAATAAAAATTATGGTAAAATGCTATAGTAATATTGAATTTTTAATCTTTGTTTTTTATCATTTCAATATTATTTAGTATTATCATTTTGTCCAATTATGTCAAATGTATTTTATAAGTATTAATTTTTCAACTATAATTTCTATAGTATTTTTTGATACTTTTAAATATAAACTATTATTTATAAAAATGTATAATGAAATTTGCTATGCATAAAATTAGGAGGAGTTTTAGAAATTGTATTAATATTTAAATGCTAAATTTTAAAACCAAAATTTATATAGTCATTTGTAAAAAGATACCTCTGAAAAATTTCTGATCAATTAATGATTTTTTTACATTATATATATATTTTTAAAAACATGATATTGAAAAAATTGTTTTATTTTTTCTGTTTTATATAATTGAAAACACAATTATAAGACATATTATATATTTATAATTTCAAAAGAATTTTACAAACTTTTGTTCTTTATTGAAAAATATCCTTTTTGTTTTTTTGAAAATAATTTTGGTAACATGTAGTTATAGTATTTGCATTATTCACAAACTATTTTAGTTTAAATATGAATTTTTAATGTTTTTTATTATTCTAATTAAATTTTTATATTTAATCAGTTTATTACCAGTTTTGGTATTTTGGCCGGTGGTGGAAGTTCCCTAATTTATGCATTAGAACAGTCAATACATGCTTCACATGATGCAGCTACCCCAGCTAAAATGCCATGGAATCATAATGGTTGGTTCAGCACTTTAGATCATGCTAGGTAAAGGTTACTTTTTATTAGCAAGTAGGACATTAAAACAAAAAATCTAATTTTATATTTTTTACTGTCTTCTTGATCAAATATTGCTGATATTTCAACTTAAATGATAATTATTTTTAAATTTCAGTATTAGACGTGGTTGGGAAGTATATAAAAATGTATGTGCTGCATGTCATAGTGTTGAGTATTTGGCTTATCGTGAATTAGTTGATGTATGCTTAACTGAAGCTGAGGCTAAAGCTGAAGCTGCTGAACAAATGGTAATCATTTTTCTTAATTAATACAAATCAAAATAAATCCTAATTATATTTAATGTAGATTGAAGACGGTCCTGATGAAACTGGTGCTATGTATAAAAGACCTGGTAAACTATCAGATTTAATTCCTAAACCTTATCCTAACGAAGAAGCTGCACGATATGCAAATAATGGTGCATACCCCCCTGATTTAACTTATATAACTCAGGCTAGGATAGATGGAGAAGTAAGTAGGTATGATTAGTAAAATGAATAGTTGTGATCTCGTATCATGTGTGCAATTGTATTTAAAGAAACGATTGCAAGTTATAGAATGAGATTATAAGTTATTCCTAATTAAATTTATTTGTGTTATATTTATGTTATTTTATATTTACTATTAATAAATTATTTTTAGAATTATATATTTGCATTATTAACTGGTTATATGGATCCCCCTGCTGGTGTTCAAGTTGGAGAAGATCAACATTATAACCCATATTTTGCTGGTGGTGCAATTGGTATGGCACAAGCTTTATACGATGAGGTAATTTTATAAGTTACTGTACAAGTGGCATTAAAATAGTACTAATTTATATTTTCAAATAGCTGCCCCTGCAAATATAAGAAAAATTAAATTTATTTGTTATGAAATTTTTCTAAAAAATAATTTTATAAATCCAAAAAAATTTAGTTTACCCAAAATGACTTTTTTTTTACTGCAATTAAGAATATATCAATAAAAAAAACATTCATTCCAAAGTAGGAAATACAATTAATATCTTTTTAAATTTAAATATTAATTATTAGAAATTCTATTGAAATTTGCTTAAAATTTTTAATGTGTAATGTATTTTTTCTATTGTCATTTTAGTGTTATAAAAATAAAAATTTTAAATAATTTAAAGATATCAATAATTTTTTGAGGAGTCTGTAACTCACCTTTAAATAAATATTTAATAAACAACATAATATTGCTTTTTGTTAAATTTTAACTTATGAATTTATTCTTAAATAAAAATTATTATAAAACATTTGTCTGATTATGTTATGTTTATAATTTAAGATTATTGAATATAGTGACGGTACACCAGCTACTCAAAGCCAATTAGCCAAAGATGTCATTACATTCTTAAAATGGTGTGCAGAGCCAGAACATGATACAAGAAAATTGTTTGCTATGAAAGTAAGTGAATTTATTGTAATTACTTATTAAATTGCTCTAAAAATTTGTTTTAATATATTTTTTATTTTTAGGCCTTCACTTTATTAGGTGTTCTTAATTTAGTTGTCTGGTACCTGCACAGACATTATTGGTCAGTCATGAAGACTCGTAAAATCTTAAGAAAATAATTGTAATGAATGTAATATTAATATGTTATTATAATGAATTATAATAAGTAGAATAAAAAAGATAAAACAACAACTGAATAAATCTTTAATGGGCAAAAATCCAATTAATCCTTTACTGTGTAAATGAGAAGAAATTATGTAAAAAAAATTGTTTTAGATCACAGGGATTTTTGCATAAAAAATACTTATAACAGTTTTTAAATAAACAAAAATGTTATTTTAGCTTTCTATTATATGGCTATTTTAAGTATTTTCGTTGTCATTCAAATTATTTTAGCTAAATTGTTTGTTGAAAAATTTAGAACGGTTGTACATGTTTGTAATTTAATTTTCATAAATTCATTCAATTTCAAGTTAAATGTAACTTATACTTCTTTTTTATGAAATATACACTACAATAAATTTACATTACAGTAAATCTATAGTTTACATTTTGTCCATAAAAATTTGTTTAGTTATTGTTGGTTTTTTTTTATCCATAAAAATCATTAATCATAATTATGTGAATCTTTAAATAATTTAATTCATATTGATATTAAATGAATTGTTACATAGATTTTCTTTTATTTGAACTCTAAAGGCTTAAATAAAATGGACATTTAAAATTATACATCATGCTAATGTGTAATGACTTCACTATAGTTAATTGTTAATTTATATTTAATATCTTCAAAAAATTAATGTTTTCTGGATACTGTAGAATCCTTAAAGTAAAATGAAGCTATTAAAAGTACAAAAGATTTATACAATTGTATTTGGTTTAATCAACAAGAGTATCTTAAATATAAATAATTAACTTTGTGAATAGATTGTCGGTACAAATTTTTTTTACAACAGCCAAGAATTATTTGTTTTTAATAAAATGATATATTTCTAATTTTATGTCAATGACAAACTTTATTTTTTACTCAATAATATTAGTTGTTGAACTATTTTAACTTCAATAGAAATTTTTAATTATGAAAATTCTTGTAAACTAATGCAAAAGTATATTCTACTTTATTTAAAAAAAAAAAATTTTTCGGTATTGTTATTTTTATATTTGCGCTAACAAAGTTATTCATGAAATTTGATCATTTTCATCTTAAAAGTACTGAAGTTTTAAGGAAATGAAATTTAGTTTTTTAAAATTAAATCATATTAATTTGGCCGACCCCAAGTAGTTGGGATTAAGGCGAGAAAGAAACCATATTAATTAAACTATAGTATTGAGTAAAAATAATAGATGACCGGTTTTGTTATTTTCAAAATGTCGTTTCCTTACCACTGACTATAAAATTTTCATTGGAGGAACGTGTAATATTTGCTGTACACCATCCAACACCTATGCTGTACAATATGAGTGTTAGGTTTTTAGATATGTGTTACCTTATGTTAAATTCTACGCTTATGGAAATTGTCACATGTTGTTTTATAATACTAGTTATACCATTTTACTTGAATGGTTGCTTAATAAAAATTTCGATATTTTAATTTTTAGTAAAAAAAACATCAAGCTTTTAACGAGTTTCATAACGGCCTGTTTCCCTGTTGGTTTGCTCTTGTCGCTCATTTGAACATTGAGCACATTGCTGCGTTATAGTACATTCGCAGAAGTCGTTCCGTATCGATTGCAGTAATGGCGGTAAATATGGCCCTATGTAACCGTTACTGACAGCGTGGTGATAGTACTCAGCATACTGTTGAATTGTCGGCGGGCCTTGTAGCCTGGCCCGGTTTTCACCAACTGTACGAGGCCGTTCCACCGGCGCAGTCCTAGGTACTCGATGACCACTTTCATTTCTTCCCGTACTCGCTGCCCTTCTGGGCCTCTCAAATCCGCTGGCCCTTTGGTCGGACGTCAAATAATTGGCCACGACGTACGGTTGCGTATCTTCTGCGGTTGTCGTGTTGTTACTTTGGTGTTGGTGACGTGTTCGGTCGACATCTTGACCTCCGCTCGAACGGCATCCGCAGCCTTCATTTGTCCGACTCCTAGACAAATTACAACCCGTTTTTCGACTGTAGGCAGTCCATTCTTCGTCAGAAACGGGTGTCAGAGGAGACGGTGGCGAATAATTTACCATTCGACGACGAGATCCCGCAGACTTGGGAGTCGATTGACCCAGCGGTGCCGGGGGTTCTCTTGCCGGACGACTAATCAACATTTGCTTATAACCCAAGTACTGTTGCTGTGGGTGCATACCACCACACGCCCCACGCGTCGCGCATTCTTCAGAACGCGATCTGTTGCCGTAATCTTTTTGTCGATCCCTGCGACAACCGGAGGCTTGTTGTTCAGCTGCCACTGCGGCCAGTTCCCTCTGTGATCTTTCGTATGCTATCCGCTCAAGTTGCCTCTGTCGTTCTAGACGCCTCACTTCGGCTTGTTGTTCTGCCGCTATCCTTTCTCGCTCTGCCTGTTCCCTCGCCTTCCGCTCGCGATCAGCCCTGTATTGCTGGTCCACCATTCTTCTGGCTCGCCGTTCACATTCCATTCGTTTTTGTGTTTTGGCGCCGCATCTTTCAGGCCGTACGTTGTTCCCCGTTGGAGTGAAAGCGTTTTCGGGGTAAGACAAGTCGGCGTCCATATATGGACGAAACGGGGCTACTGGTTGTCGTTGTTGTTGTTGTTGTTGTTGTAACGCGGCTCGTTCTTGCTGCTGATGTTGTCGCCATAGCTGCTGATCCGCATTGTCGTCGAAGTAGTCGGGCTGATAACCGCACGATGGCCCGCCACATCCCTGTTGATATGTCTCGGACACTCCTCGAGCCCGAGCACAACCTGGTGTTGTTTTCACCGTCGGTTCGTCGTCGAAGTCTAACTGACACGGTTGTCCGAGATTTCCTCTTGGCGAGTTCGACCGTCGACTGGTTCTTGGGGTCTCGCTAACTTGTTTTGATTCGTTGGGATTGTTACATTGTGTTTGTGGACAGCGCTTGGCACGATCTTCATTTATCTGAGTGGCTATTTTCTGTCGTATCTTCCGCAACGACCGTTCGGCTGAGGCCATGTCGTTGTCATCTTGATTACAGGCCCTAGTACGGCGGCCAGGCGAAGAACCGGCCCTGTGTCGTGTGACATTTTTGTTTTGTACGTCCGGAACGTTGTTGTTGTTTGAATTCAAATTCATAAAGTTATCAACGAGATTATTATGCGAATAAGAATATGAAGTATTTAATTTTTTAGCTATTTATTTTTCAATCTATTTAGAAATTTATTTATGTAATGTATGTATTTATTTTGCACTTCAATATTGCTAACAATATGATTCGTTTCTGTGGTGACATCCTTACATTACGTAGAATGATATAAGTTGCATCATTAAAATACCTGAATCCATTTTTTATCATTTAGCATTATAAGTTACATAGTTAACACGAGAGGTCGTGTTGCTTTTTTTCGACGAGTAATGAGAAATGTTAGTTCTAATATAAGACAAATATTGTTTGGAAATGGACGTCAAAAGATTTTGTCATGGGGATAAAAAACTTTTATGACAAATATCATTATGAAATCTGTGCGGCCATAGCTCGAGCTTTTTTATTTGTATTACTGTAACAAGATGTTATTAAGGACTATAAGATGGGCATAGATGATTTTATTTTTTTATTAGGTGTATTTTAAATATTTAATTTATTTTAGTGTAGTACCTCGTTGAATTTAAATACGTATAAAATAATAGCCAAACTCGAAATTTAATCGAATACATTTGTAGGATTAATCATTTTTTCATATTAATTCTGCTCAATAACTTCTGAATTGAATTATCATATATAATGTTTTCAGTATAAATTTAATAAAAATTGTACAGAAATGTCAAAAAGGGTATACCAGCAGAGGGGATCCACCCACCTAATCTCATTCCAATTGACCACCTTTGATAAAAATATGACTTATGTTTGATCTTTTTTACGAGGCGGCGTTATTGATTTACGTATTTTATTTTTGTTGGTACATTTTATACTTAAAATTAACCCAATATGATTGGCGAGTAAGGTTCACGACTAAGGAGATCTAGCGCCCCAAACGTTCAAATTAGCATCCTCAAAAAATTAGAACGCATTTGTTGTTTTGCTTATACAAATATTAATATAATTGATGTAATTTTTTTTTTTTAATTTCATTGTTGACAAAACTACGATCTTAGAACAATTTAGAATAAAAAGTTGTATTTTGCTGGGTAAAATACGTTTTAATTATAGACATCTAAATGAATTTATATACGTATGTGAAAATAATAAAGAGGCGCGTGTGGGCAGTTTCCGCGAATCTGTGAGTCATACTTTTTTTGAACACCCTCAAAATTGTTTTGCTTAGTAGCGCCTATGCTCATTGTTATAGCTTATAATGAATTTTTTACCTATACCGAGGGCCGTATTTAGGATATTGGCTTGGGGTGACATCATGAATTTAGGCGCCTCTAATTTCTTTCAGAATCGCTCTCATATCTGTAGTTTTTGTTTTTTAATATTGAGATTCGCCCCTAAGAATTTTGGTGGGGCGGCTATTGTCCCTCTTAGCCACTCCTTAAATACGGCCCTGCCTGTACCTACATTGATTTGTCTGACACTGTACATTGGTTTACTGAGTTTATAAAAACAGTTGTAATACGATGTATTAACTAAAGAACATTTAAAATGTTAATATTTCAAAATTTTAGTAGATCGTCCAGAAAATAATTAAAAATGTTGGCGTTAAGAATAAGCAAAGAGCTTATGCTTTGAGGATAAAGTTTTCCATATCCCGTGACTATTAGGAAACATGAACAATATTCAGTTGTTTAAGAGGATTGAAAATGATTTATTTGTGTCATTCAATAAGTACGTTAATGATTAATTAGAAATGATTAAAAAAAACTACATAGTGAGGTGTTGAATATTATGCTAGAGGATGTCAAGTTTTCAAATGTAGTTTTTATTGTACACAACGGAAGTGTCCTTAGTTCTTAATGTTGAACCTTTACTCGAATAAAAGTGGGTGAATACGTTCTGTTGTTTTGGGCAAGGGGGTAGTGTCCAAGCAGAAACGTGCCAGTACAATAGTATTTCGCTTGTCATTTTTTTTCTCGGTACCAAATACTTCATCGACCTATGCTGACGTCCCCACCACCTACACAGCATCACACAACCGGTTGTACAGTACGCGGCAACGACTGTGTATGCCTCTGGCTGTGCACCGAGTTCGGGTACACCCCGTAAATACAAATGTATACACATAGTACGGTCGTGTACCATCGGATTCAGTCTCAGTCGTGTACGCGTTGCCGTCCGGACGCGCGTTCGAGTGTATGTGTGCCAGGTAAACTACTTATTTTTTTACATATTATTTTTAGTTTAGCCGGATATCCGACGACGCCGGTAAGTCTACAGAATAGTAATATCACATCTCACAGGTACACGATAATTCCGTGAGACTAACTAATGCAATAGTACGCGACATGTGTAGAGTACAGTTTTTCATTTTTTTTTTTTTTCACATTTTCTGGTAGTCGTTACTTTTTTTCCAACTGATGTACCCACATAAGTTTTTACACAAATTTATCAATATAATGAAAATCCGAATGAATACTTCCGCGCAATCTCAAAATTATCTACCGAGAAATTGTTCCGTATACGTTAATACACTGTCCGTACATCAAACACATGGCACTTTGTTCTCCACCCACTCTACGTGCCACACATGTGGCGTACACATTTGATCCTTAAAATACCATAGTAGATACACGATGATAGTCGACCGTTCTACAGCGTGTGTGTGTTTATAGATGACTTGCCATCTGCAGCATTGCGCTTGAAGACGTTGATCAGAGGACCGAAAATGTCGTTGCTTAGCGCGACACAGTCAACAGTCCTGGTGCCATTGCTCCTGCTGCTAGTCTTATCAGGTAATCCAAATTAAAATATAATTACTCCATGTCGTTGACGATAAAAAATTATTTGAATAAATTATTAGATAATAACTGAAGATTATTTGTTACGTCTAATGAAAAGTGAAAAACCTCCTCGATGTACTGAAATAGTAGCTATGCGCTTAAATACTAATTCATTGAACAATTTTTTTAAATGATTAAGCACTGGCACATTTGAGATTTCACCTCGGCGACAATACTATGGTAGTTCAACGCCTCTTAATATAACAATGTAGAAATTAAAATAAACATATTACGGGGCATTGCCCCCATCACACTCAAACACATCCCCATGTATAAATACCTAAGTAATTCCAACTGTTTAGTCAATATTATTAATATTCAAATTAGTGTGATTAGAGCTTTCGTAGACACGCTATTTTTGAAAACTTCTATGACAAAATGCAGTTATTTTTTTTAATGAATAAACATTTTTTCTGTAAATATCTGAAAACTCAGTTTGAAACGAAACAATGTCATGTGTAAACCGAAAACAATTTGTGATTCATTTTATTGTCTTAATATATGACCCATAAGCGCATAGTTAACGAAGGGTGTTTTTATTGCTCTTTGTCACTTTGACTATTTAAATAAACCCAAATCATTGATGTTAGATAAAAATGAATTAACAACTTAAATATTCTTTTTTATATTATTATAATGTATTATTTATTCTAAATAATATATTAAAAGTTATAAAATACTAAAAATTATAGTTATAGCTCTCATATTGGCCAATTATTACTGTTAATAGTATAAGACTTAAGCGCTAGTAAGACTTTGTGATATGCAAAAAAAAAAAAAATGTTTAAATTTTACTTTATCAAGTTTCAAAAGTGGAATAACATACTACATTGTGTACAAATTTAAATCTAACTTCAATATTCAGGCATCTAATTCTTATAGTAAATTAAGAAGATTTAATGATTGCAAAGAAAAATGATTTTTACTATGAAAATGTATGTGATAAAATTAAATTAAATTTGTAACAAGGGGTGAGTGTTTTCCTTATTTGCAGCGTAAAATATCTAAATACATTTTAAAAAATATGGACAACTTGGAATGAGTTTTGGATTGATATAAAAAATTGTAGTTCCTGAAATTTAATGCTTTGATGAGAGACATTTGATGAAAATGCCAAATGATACTATCCGATGATAAATTTATTATTATTTACTTAAATGTATCAACGCACACATTAAATAATCATCTCATTTTCATGAAACAATATTATCTTTAGGATTAATTTCACTAATGACTATCAAATAAACAAGAATAGTATTTTAAAGTATCAAATATGTGTGTATATAAAAAAAGATACTACAGTTTTACTCAAATCAAAGAATAACAGAAAAAGCTGCCTACAAATGTTAAGGATTCATAAAAAAAAAAAAAATTATTAATATAAATGTGTGTATTATTTAGGCCCAAGAACGTGCATTAGTTCTTATGTCCTACAAAAGGATTTCTTTGGCTGATACTTTGTTCTATTTTTAACAAGTAATGAATTAATGATAATGTTAAGACTTAGTACGTCATTATGTATGTACAGTGTAGAGTTTGGTGATTTTTCTTTAATAAATGTTTGACCTCACGAACAGTGAGCGCATATTCAATGGCAGGATTTTGCTAGGCAGTTCATTGAAAAAAAAGCGTTTAATGAAAACAACGTTTAGATAAAAATTAATGGGTAGGGAGCAAGAACCGGCGCGAGAGAGCAAAAAGTCGGTGTAAAATATTTGTTACATTGATACAATAGCCGTTTTGCTTAGTACCGGAAACGAATTGATAAAAAATCGAATGAAAAATAAATAGCTGATAGTACATTTACTCTAGTTAACGGAGGAAGTCAAATTATCAAATTCTCACTTTCGTTGTCCTTTTATCAATTTTCCTAAATTAACTAATGCATCGAAAATCATCTGAATATAATCGTCTAAAATGAATGTATATTCGCTGAAAATGAAATGACGTATTTAAATGTAATCAAATGAAATCAATATAAAATGATTGTAATAAGTAAAAAAATACAACATTTTGGAAGATAAAATAATGCTCGAAACGCTGTATAAATACATCAATTTATCATCTAAAAAATATTTGTGTTAATATTAAACTGTTCAGTCATGTTAAAAGCTGATCACAGCTATTAAGACTTAAAACTTGACAAAATTCTTATTTAGTGATTCATTTTTTGCTTTTTTTCTTGTAGTAAACGTTTTCCAATGATTTATCAAAATGATTACCTGTATTCTAATTAAAACCACACTTCATAAAATTGTTATCATTAAAATGCTAACCGAGCAGTTTTTTGAAGTTATTTATCTTTTGTATTCGAACAATCAGAGTCCGTGTAATTTTTATAGTATTTTAAAATATAATGTGTCTTTTAAAACGAAAGCGATAATTTTGATTAACTCAAAAATGGAATTAGCATTAAAATACCGCAAACTGATTTATTGCATTTGAATTTATTTGTATTACTGCATAATATGTGAAATCTTTATGACGAATTGTGACGATATTTACATAATAAAGCTACAGAAATTATGAAAGCATAAAAAATGTATTTTTTTTTTTTCATAGTTCACTTTTTGTTCGGTTTCGGTCGTGTTGGACACAAGAAATTTGTGAGGTTAATGTTTGTTTTAATTTTTCTATTAAAAATGATTTAACATACAATGAATTTTCGGTAGTACATCTTATATAATAATTAAACAAATCTTTAACGATTGTAAATTATTGGTCAGTTATTAGCGTTAACATGTAACGTGAACAATCACATCATTCAATCACATTGAATGATGTGGTTTTTAATCCGATAACCTCAACATCAGCCTTTCTACGAAAAACGTGCCTGAACACATATTTCAATTAAAACACTATTATGGAAAGTATATGTTGAAAAAAAGCATCCAAAGACCACTGAAATATCTATGATGTATTATTTAATTAGTTATATATCAATTGATTTTATTAGAACAAACATTTATTGTTGTGGAATTATATTATTAACGTTATTATTTTAAGGAAAGATATTGCACAGATAATTAACGACTTGAAATTAAAAATTAACATATTCGTCGAAATTTGTAAATGCATATAAGCAAAAGTTTTATAGACGAAATCAATTTTTTATGTCTTTTAAATAAAACTATTATTGCAAATATTTTTACATCTTGTTATATGTAATAAAAATAATAGCTATTACTTTTTGAGACTAACGTTTTTTCTAGATCTAGTTCAAATATACGAAATTTTAAATGTAGAAATTTTCCTCCAATTGTACCTAAACTAAAAAAATATTCATATTTTTATTAGATTTTTTGTTAATCATATAGTTGTTCTGCTAAATATCAAATTTAATGTCCAATGTTCATCTAATTTGGTTTTTGTTAATGATTTTGATGAATTTTCAGTTACTGCCAAAGAGTACTACCGTTCACAATGTGACAAGAGTTCTTGTTACCCAGCTACTGGAAATTTATTGATTGGCCGTGAAAGTAATTTAGTAGCATCATCTACTTGTGGTATAAAACAAAGGGTTGGTATCTTATTAAGTAGTATATTTTCATTCAATTAATAGATATTTTCTATTTTATGAATATTTTCTATATTTTTTTTTGTGTAGGAAAAGTATTGTATTGTAAATAATTTAGAAGAACGTAAAAAGTGTTTTTGGTGCGATTCAAGACAACCGGCTCAACCAAATACCAAGTTTCCATTAAGTCATAGAGTTGAAAACATAATTCAGCGATCTGAGAACAGGTAACTTTTTTGAGTTGGGGTTTTTTACTTTATGTCAAAATACCATTTTTATAGTACATCTACCAACCAATGGTGGCAATCGGAAAATGGCGTTGAAAATGTTACCATACAGTTAAACTTGGAAGCTGAATTTCATTTTACTCATTTAATTATTAAGTTTAAAACATTCCGACCAGCTACTATGTTAGTGGAAAGATCATATGATTTTGGTAATACGTGGCAGGTAAATCTTTTATACAACTTAGAGAGATCTAAGCATTTATGAACTATTATTTTATAGGTTTATAGGTATTTTGCTTATGATTGCGATTCAGTTTATCCTAATTTACCAAAAGAACCTCCTCGTAATCTGACTGAAATAGTGTGTGATCAAAGATACTCATCAGTGCTGCCATCTGCAAACGGAGAGGTAAATTAAAAGTCGTCAATGATATTAACCGAATTGTTTTATTAACAAAATGTATTCATTAGGTGATTCTTAAAGTTTTGCCTCCAAATTTAGCACACACTTATAATGATCCTTATTCAACAGAAGTCCAAAATCTACTCAAAATGACCAACTTGAGGATAAATTTTACAAAATTGCATACGCTAGGTGATGACTTGTTGGATAGCCGAAATGAAATATTGGTGAGTAAGAAATGTTAACTTTTTACAAAATATTTCCTCAATATTTAATTTTTTCATTTCTGTTTTAATTTTTACACAATTAATATTATAATAACTCAAAAAATGATTCAATTTACTTATTTAACAGAAAAATGGTAAAAATAGTTTCTTTTAAAATTAATTGAGCTCTGATTTTATCTTAGGAAAAATATTACTATGCCATCACCGAAATGGTAGTCAGAGGATCGTGTTCATGTTATGGCCATGCATCTCGCTGCTTACCTATACCGGGTACTCCTAACGTACCAGACATGGTACATGGCCAATGTGAATGTACACACAATACTAAAGGTCTGAACTGCGAAGCTTGCGAGGATTTTTTCAACGATTTTCCATGGAAACCTGCTATTGGACGACAGACAAATGCTTGCAAGCGTATGTAGAATAGATGACGTTTTTCATAAGAAAAATTAAATTTTTATTTAATTTTAATTTTCAGGATGTAATTGTAATAATCATGCTACAAGTTGTCACCATGATCCAGCTGTATTTGAAATGACTGGACGTACTAGTGGTGGAGTATGTGACGGATGTACAGACAATACAATGGGTCGCAACTGCGAACACTGCAAACCATATTTCTATCAAGATCCAACGAAACCATTTACTGACCGCGATGTTTGCCTGCGTGAATAAATAATTTTAAATTAATTAATATAATTTTTATGAGTTCATTTTTAATATATTTTGTTTACAGCGTGTGACTGTGATCCTAGTGGTTCATTGGACGATGCCATATGTGATTCTAAAACTGATCTTGTTAACGGACTAGAAGCTGGACGTTGTCACTGTAGGACAAATGTTGAAGGTAGACGTTGTGATGTTTGTAAAAATGGATTTTGGAATTTCACTGAACAGAACGTTGACGGATGTCAAGGTATGTACTTATAATGAATTTAATGTATGTATTTAATCAAAGTTTGTTTTATATTTGATTTTTTTAACATTGTCTTCTAGCTTGTACATGTAACACTCAGGGAACCGTCGACAATTTGGGCTGTGATAAAATATCAGGAGAATGTACTTGTAAACGATTTGTGATTGGTCGAGATTGCAACCAATGTATGCCTGGTCATTGGGGATTATCCGAGGGTCAAGATGGTTGTAAGCCTTGCGAGTGTGATGTAGGTGGTTCATATGATAATATGTGTGACGTTATTACTGGACAGTGCAAGTGAGTTGTAAATAAACAATTTTTAATTTTCGTTAACCAATCTACAGTTCATGGAGTAAATTATGTTTGGTACACAAACTATTTAATCCCATTCAGCATTAGCTCAATATACTTATATTAATTAATATGTGTACATTCATTACTAGTTTTTTATTATGAATAGGTGTCGGCCACATTTGACCGGACGCACGTGTAGTACACCGGAACAAAATTTCTTTGTTGGGCCCGTCGATATATTGATCAGTGAAGCTGAATTAGCTAATTGTACAAATGTAAGTTATCCTCACAAAATTCTTATGATGTAAGATAAATTAAAGTATTAACTATTTGTCTAATATTTTAGAATTGTCAAGTACATATTCGAGAGCCTTTTAGAGATGGGAGAGATAACACGTGGACTGGAACGGGTTTCATGAAAGTTTACGATGACGCTGAATTGACTTTTGACGTTAAAAATGTACCTCTAACTACCAACTATGAAATAGTTCTTAGATATGAACCTCAAGTACTTTACGATTATGATAATGTGAAAGTAACATTGGAAAGATTAGACCCTAATGAACCAAATGGAACATGTGCTAATTACGAATTAAATTATAATACTGGAGATGTCAGAGAAGTGGTTTTATCAGCTGGTTAGAAGTTTTATTCAAAATTAAACTTAACGCAAATTTTGTATTAATTTTTACCTATTGATTTTTTTAGCTTCTCAAGTTGCAATAGCATCACCGCCTGTATGTCTGGAAGCTAATAATGATTACAAAGTACATGTAACTTTCGAAAGATATTATAATAAATCGCAAAACCCATCCGCTTCTATTCTAGTGGATTCTGTAGTGTTAATACCTTATGTAGAGGCAATTCCATTCTTTGAAGGGTCACCTGCAAATGAACAGAGGTTAGCAGAGTACAAACACTACAGGTGTAAAGAAGCATTTTATACTGTTCTCAGGGGACGCATTCACGATGTTTGTCAAAAATACCATTACAGTGTTGGATTTTATTATTTAGATGGAGCTTTCTGTTAGTATAAATAAATTAAATTACCATTTAGTGTTCATTTTTTAAAGTATTTTTTTTAATAGCTTGTCAATGTGATCCAACTGGATCAGTTAGTACTATTTGTGATCCTCTTGGTGGTAAATGTTCATGCAGACCAAATGTTGTTGGTAGAAAGTGTGATCGTTGTGCCCCAGGGACTTATGGATTTGGACCCGAAGGATGCAAAGGTATGTCAAATTAAAAATAATATCATAATTTAATTTTCATGATATTCGAATTATAATTCATGATATTTTCAATATTTCATTAGCTTGCGACTGTAATAGTGTTGGTGCTCTGGATAACTTGTGTGATGTAGTGACTGGTCAGTGTAAATGTCGAGCACAGACTTATGGTAGGGAATGTGATCAGTGTGAACCAGGTTCATGGAACTATCCTAATTGTCAACGCTGTGTATGCCATGGACACTCCGATGTATGTGACTCTCATACAGGAGTTTGTTTAAATTGTCAAGGGTTCACTGAAGGATATAGTTGTGATAGGTATACAATTAATTTGACTTATCAAAAAGATAAGTCTTAGTATCGTAATCTTAAAAAATAAAGAGTTAAATAATGGAGACCAATGGTTATAGTTTACAACTGAAATTTAATTTAATATGCTTTAATTTTTTTCATTTTTGATAATATAGGTGCATTGAAGGATATTATGGTGACCCTCGGTTAGGTATTGACATACCCTGTAGAGCATGTCCTTGTCCTGGTACAGTTGAATCTGGTCATTCATTTGCACATCGCTGTGCTCTTGATCCAAGAACGCAAGACGTTTACTGCGAATGTCAAACAGGATACAAAGGTAACTTGATTATTAGTTACTTACAGTGATAAAGATGTTTGTTAGTTTAATATATTATCATAAATGAAATTTTTCATGTATTGAGTATTTTCACATTTAAATTTATAAATAATGTATTTACTTTAAATAGGATCAAGATGTAACTTATGTGATGAAAATTATTATGGAAATCCTGAGGTGCCAGGCGAGTATTGTAAACCTTGTACCTGTAATAATAATGTAGATATTAGTAGACCTGGAAATTGTGACCCGCATACTGGAAAATGTTTAAAATGTTTATTCAATACTGAAGGAGAAAACTGTGAGGTGTGTAAAACTGGTTATTATGGTGATGCAATTAATCAAACATGTAGAGGTAAGTTTTAAATTATTCTTTATCTTTAAATATAAATATACGTGTCTTTAAAGAAAAGAGCTATATATCTATCAATATATTTAGAATGTGTATGTGACTTTTTGGGATCACAATCTTCTGTATGTAACCATATGACAGGACAATGTCCATGTTTAAATAACGTAATAGGACTTTCTTGTGATCAATGTAAACCAAATCATTGGAAAATTGCTAGTGGAACCGGTTGTGAACCTTGCAACTGCGATTCAATAGGATCTTTGTCAAAACAATGTAATCAAGTATGTGTGATCTTATATGTAATTATAACAAACATTTTTGGTAATTTTTTAAAACATATTTCGTAGTTTGACGGTCAATGTCAATGTAAACCGGGATTTGGTGGAACACAATGCAATCAATGTCAAGCTAACTACTGGGGTGATCCTAATAAAGAATGCTTCCGTAAGTTTTATATTCCTGTAATTATCAATAACATGTTTAAAGATTGTTTTTTTAGCTTGCGACTGTAACCCAGAAGGGTCAGCGACACAACAATGTAACCAAACTACAGGCCATTGCAAATGTATGTTGGGAATTGGTGGACCAAAATGTGATGTGTGCGATAGAGGTTACTTAGGAACAGCTCCCAGTTGTAGTCCTTGTGGCGAATGTTTTGAAAATTGGGATCAAACACAGAAAAAGTTAATTGAACAAACTGACAACGTTATAAAGTCAGCATCTGATATTAAGGCTACTGGAGCATCTGGAGCATACACAGTTGAGTTTGAAAATATGGAAAAAAAGATAGCGGATGTAAAAAATATTCTACATACTACTACCAAGAGCTCCATAGATTTACAATCAATTAATGAAGTCATTGATCAATTGAGGTATTTATGAAAAAATAATTGAATGTATATTTCACTCATACAATTTTTTTTTTCTAGAGCGAATCTTACTGTGATGGATCAATTGAACATAGTGACCAAAAATCTGGACAATACTACCCAGAAGTTTNTAATGTATATTTCACTCATACAATTTTTTTTTCTAGAGCGAATCTTACTGTGATGGATCAATTGAACATAGTGACCAAAAATCTGGACAATACTACCCAGAAGTTTATATTAGCCAATTTGACTTTAGAAAATCTAAAATCTAAAACAATAAATTTAAAAGATCTTGCCTTAAACTTAAAACAAAATTCAACAAAGCTGCAGGAGCGTAACGTCGAAGGTGAAATAAGAAAAATGCTTCATAAAATCATGTAATATGTTCGAAAATATATTATTATTTGTATAACATAGGAGCGCTTAATATAACTAAAGATGCTTTTGAGAGAGCACGAATGTTGAAAATCAAGGAAAATGTCCAAGATGGTCTTTTAGCTGACGCCGAACGTCAGTGCAAAAGAACAGAGGCTTTCTTTGGTCGAAATGTTAACACTTTCAATCAAGGAATTAAAGATAATGAAAAAACATTAGAAAAACTAAACGATGATATGAATAATTTAAATCAAGCTATTCCAAAATTAAATCAACAAGTAAAATTATTTTACTAACAGAATAATTGAATTATTAGTGATCAATTGTATTTTTAGATATGCGACAAAGGCAGTGAAACTTGTGACCAGCTTTGTGGTGGTGCTGGATGTGGTTTTTGTGGTGGGTTATCATGTGAAGGTGGAGCTACTACTAAAGCTGAAAGAGCTTTTAGTTTCGCTAAAGAAGCTGAAAAACATATTCGAGACAAAGAAGCTAAAGCTGAAGAACTGTACAGAGGAGTACGTTATTTTTGATAAAAAATTATTTAACATTTTTTTTTTAATTTTTCATTGACAGATTTCACAAGCCAATCAAGAAATAAACAACGTCTTGGGCAACACCAAACTTACAGGAGAATTGTCCAACGCAACTAAAATTCATTCGGAAAATATTCTTAAAGAATGTTATTCAGTTATTGAAAGAAACGAGCAGTTTTTGAATCCTATGGATGGAGTAAAAGCCACAGATGTAGCTGTTAAAATTGACGAGGTATGTTAATATTTGAAAATAGCAATTTTGACAAAAAATCTATGACATATTATACATATAATTTTATAGATTTTACGATTAAACATACAATTAAAACCAGAACAGCTACAACAATTGTCTGAAGATATTAATAAAACATTGTCAACGCCTAAGAACATTGACAAAATTATAGCAGACACGGCAGAAGATTTACTTTTGGCGAAGAATTTATACGAGCAGGCAGAAAAAAAACAGTTAAGATTTAAATTTTGATTTATCTGCTTTTAATCTAAATTTATTTAAATATTTACTTTCATGTAAATATTTTAGAATGGCCGCTAAAAACATACTTCAAGTGGCAGAACGCGTAGAAGAAGCCCTCGCAGAAACTCAACAAATTCAAAAAAAAGTTGAAGATAGTATAGTAGTTACCAACCAAAATATCTTGGATGCTACAAATAGCTTAACAAAAGTAATATTGAATAATAATTGACGAAAAATTATAATATTTATTTAATGTAATATACTTAATTAACAGATCAAATCTGACTCGGTTGGTGCTCAAGAAAATGTTCAAAAATCGATGAACGACATAGTTACAATAGAAAAGAAACTGAAAAATCTGCAAACCGGTTTCCTTAAAAACGACCGTGACGCCGATGAAGTCAAGTCAGAAGCTAAAAGTCTAATACAAGAAGTAGACGAAACAGAAAAGAAAGCGACTCAATTGTTGTCTGCTTACAAGAATGCTAATAACACATTAGAAAACCGTTTAAAGAGTTCTAAAAATAACAAAAACAACTCTCAATATTTATTGGAACGTGCTAGTCAATTATCTGCCAATACAACTTTAAAATTAAAAGAACTTGGAGGTAATTAAAATAATTTTTTTCCGAAATTAATAAACTAATAATAAATGACTACTTTTTTATTTAACGTTTTTGGTCTTTTTTTATGAAAAAAAATTCGTTACTAAGATAATAGTATTTATAGTTATTAAAATTATTGTATTGTTAGAAGATATAACTCGTATAGTAAATCGAACTATATTTAGTTAACTATTTTTTTATATGGAGTTACAATTATGAAGTTTTTTCCGTAAATAAAGGAATTTCATCATAATATGTATATATTTACAATATATTATTATAATATACTTTTTTATTCATAAGAATAAAAATAATTTATTAATCATTTTGTAGATGCTGAAAAAATGTTCGAAGAACAAGAAAAATTGATATTAATGCTCAGTAGTGCTGCCGATGAACTTAACGCTAAGATGTCAGAACACCTAGAAAAAATAAATAGCCAATCTGAACATTATAGAACGTGTAATAATTAAATTAGCGATGAATTTCAACATTATTAAAAAACATACCATTAGTAAAAAGTCTGTTTTTCAATTACGAGTCAAACTGTTAAGTATCATATATTTATTTTATTAGATTTCCTTTGTACTTTTTACTATATTATTTATTAACTTTTAATGAAATTACTACTACTTTCTGTCTACTGTATTATAGTACTTATAAATAATTTTATAATATAAATGTGTTCATTACTCATAACTAGGTTATTTAGTTTCTGAATTATTATTTGATTTAATCAATGGACTATTCATAAATGTTTCACTAAAGATATGTGTTTGTTTATTTTCTTTAAAAATGAATGTAGTATTTTATCTTTGATAAATATATTTTAAGATTTAAAAAAATATTATTAATGAATAATCTGTGTCGATGCTAATTTGTTAAAAATCTTTAAATTTTACTTACTTGAAAATATAGTAGCCAATAAGACGAATAGGATACATGTCATATGTGATGTCATAAATGTGGGACGTTTTTTAAGTACGATACGAAATTTATAAGAACAGTGATAAAAATAATTATAATTTCACTGTAACATAAACAATTATTCGTGTAAAACATTCTGGCTTAAAATACACAGCACAAATTTGTTTTTTGAAACTAAATTTAATTACTGGCTAAAACAAGGAAGAATATAAAAATATCACAATTGATGTAATAAGGTTTTTCAGTTGTCACCAGTCAACGTTGTAAATTGTTTCAGTCTGTTTTGCTGTGAAAATTATGAGTAATTTAAAAAATATTAAACACGGTGACATTGCGAACGTCCACGACGATTCAGATTCCGACCTCACTAATGACGAAGAATTGCCGGCTATTAGGACATTGAGAATGGACGCGGGCGAACAGAGCGACGCGTGTGGAAGACGCAAAAAGAGGCGATCAAGCCGCAGGAAAAGTCGATCGTGTAGAAGTCGTAGTTGTAAGAGCCGTTCGTCCAGGAGGAGACGTCAGCGTCGCTCCAAGAAGTGCGACGACCAGACGGCCGAATTGAACAGCGACGATTCGGATGATTCCACCAACGAAAATGGCGACGTGCTCTCCAGACACCATTACGGTACAGGTGTCGACGGAGGTGAGTCTAGCGACGCTTGCGGTTGCAGACGCCGCAAAAGGCGTTCCAGCAGACGTCGTCGCAAGAGCTGTCCACCAAAATCCTCCCGGATGAGACGTCAACGTCGTCGTTCCAGGAGATGCAATGACGAATTTACCTCAGCCGCCAGCGATCATACATCACGTGTAGCTATCACCGAGTTGGCCACAACTCGTGGCTCAAATAGAAGCGCGTCACGCCATGTCAGTCGTCGCACCCGCACACCATCGTCCAAACGCTAGTCCATTCCACCACATGTAATCAACTGCTCATCGTGATTTGAACGCATACAACTATATTATCACGAAAAATTTAACTATGTTTTTAATGTAAAAAAAAATAATGTTATTCGATTAAATGGAACAATATTTTAACGCTAAAATTCAAGTTTTTTTTACTTAACTTTAGTTTTTTTTTTTTATTAAGGAATTTAGGAATTAAAAAAATTGGCCCCCTCATTTAATGAGCAAGCGAATAATTTTGTATATCCCCCCCATGTATTACGCCTCTGATTTCTCAATATACGCGAATGATTAAAAAACGTTAACAAATTCAAAATACAAATAGATTATAGGATTGATTAAGAACAACAAAAATATGTAAAAAATGTATATATTCTCGCACCATAAAACCGGAAAACTTAACAAATGTAATGAAAAGCTCTTGACAGTACGAATGAAATAATTTAGATGGAGACTCGTTTGAACACAACTACGGGCTCTTCCGAAGGTGAATAAATGGGTTCTGGGTCGACGGGTAACATATCCCTGTTGTAATCGTAATGTATGGGTCCCACACATGTACAAGAGCACACTGACACTTGGTCCACGTCATCGTTGCTATCTGTTCCTCTACCGATAGTATGGCCGGCTAGAAGTTTGCCGTTTACCGAAGTCACTACTTCTCCGTCCACAGTTATCACGTGTTGGGAGACTCCTTGTAATTCATTATCTTCGCGGCGAACATCCTCAGCGTTCCTAAAAGATAAATCAATTACTTTTTTTAGTATTAACACTATCATTAAGTTTGGTGCGATATAATTTGATACATTCATAAATTATATGATATAAGACGATGTATTAAACAAATACGCTGCTGTATACATTTTTTTATATTTAGCAACAGTTTTATTTAATTATATCGCTTACATAGTCATGAATCGCAGTACTAGCAAATTGATGCTGGCGGCTACCACTGCAAGTCCAAATAGAATGAACACCAAACTCAAAGCTACATATCCTGGCATAGTTGTCAAAGCTTGGTCGTTCTATAAAAAAAAAAATTACAATCGAATGTTTTTCTGCTAAATAAATCGTGAATATTTTTGTTTGCTTTATACTGTTGACATAAAAACCTGTTTACATACTGATTGTTAAAAAAAAATTAAGCTTTGACAGAGCTTAATCGACGAGGATGGGATTCGAACCCACGCGTGCAGAGCACATTGGATTAGCAGTCCAACGCCTTAACCACTCGGCCACCTCGTCATGTGATTGAAAATGATAAAATGAAAGCTTGTAGCACTACTCAGCTTTTTAATATACATTTTTGTATATTTGTTAAAAATTAGTACCAATATCTTTTAATAAGACACGTGATTTTTTTATTAATTTATCATATGTCTGTAGCTGAAGTAAGTAAAAACTTTGATCTCGGAACATAAATTACATGTTGGGGTGTAATTGAAAATAATTGAAGAGGAACATTAAGATTTAAATGACCATTTAATAATGCCTATTAAAAAATTAAGTGCAAATAATTACGTAAACTAATGATTAAACAGAACATTAAAATATAGTTTGCGAAAGTTCGAAGGATTTTAAGCTATGACACTTAATTAATTTTTGTTTTTAGAATAATGAATGCTGAGAAAATATTGTATTTAAGTTATGTTCTAAGTGAGCGATGCTAAGTACTTAATAACTTCCTGTATCACGTGTATATACGTTTAATTGAATTAAACAAACTTATTAAGTGCATCACTAAATTTAAGGAATGTAATAAGTAAATTTATTTAAATAAATTGCTACATCTTCAAATTTTCTATTTTTACTGAGATAACCTGTATGGTATAAATTATATTCAGATTCAAAATAAGTTATTTAAAGTCACCTTTACCTTTAATAATTCATACCATTAGTATTAACTTTCTATTTGAACAATTAAAATTCAGGTTAGAAACAATTTAAATATTGTATTTAATAAAATCATTATGAATCCACATAAAACATAAAATTGCATTATTGCATAAAAAAAATATAAAACTTTTCAGTATTGAAAAGTCAAAATAGTCTACTCTTGTAATAAAATATAACTGAAAAATGTGCGCATATGAAAAAATTGGATTCGATCCAGTTATGATTTTTCTCATTCATTCAAATTTGTAATAGTAAATAAAATTCTCATATAATTTAGTCTCCTTCCTTACTTCTTTATCTATTAATTTTTTTTAATTGAAATGAATTGTATCCTTTATTGCTTTAATTTAAATTTAATTTATAAATAAGTTGTTTAACCAATAAATCAAACGTTCAAAGCCCAAATTCGTAGCTTTAAGTATCAAATAACATACCTTTTTTTATCATTACATGAATATCAATAGTAATATAAAAGTGATTGTTGTTACAAGCTTCAATTTCATCAAAATTCAGTCACATGACGAGGTGGCCGAGTGGTTAAGGCGTTGGACTGCTAATCCAATGTGCTCTGCACGCGTGGGTTCGAATCCCATCCTCGTCGAATCTCACATATAAGTTTTTGGCTTTTTTTTGTTTATTTTCTCTAAACCTTGTATGTTGACATCAGTAGAGTCATCAATAGATATAAGTAACCATATTCATTACGAATTTATAATTTTGTAGATTAATAGACAGAGTTAGAAAAATTTGTAATAATTTTACTCCTAAGATATATTTTAATTTTTTTTTTTTAACTAATTTAATTTTTAGGAAGAGTAAACCCTCTCCCTCAAACTCCAATAATGTACGATTACATTTTTTTTTTAAATCTAACATTGAATTAAACGTATTAAACTTAATTTAAGTTTTACTCGTTTACTCCTCGACAGAAATGTACAGAAATTCATTACACGCCAAGTCTACTGAATGATGTGTTGTTCAAAAGGGGAAATATTCTGTTTTATGATTGGTCTTGTTTACCTGCAGTGCAACATAGTCACCGAAGCCTATTGTTGTAAGTGTTACAAAACAATAATAAAAGCTATCGAAGTAACTCCATCCTTCATATCGTGAAAACACAGCTGCACCCGTGGTAATTATAACGGATGACAAAAGACCAGTTGCAAACATGAGATTCATTTCAGTTGCTTCTTCTTTGTTGCATTTTAAGTATTGTTTTGCTCTAAAAATTGTAATTTTCGTTTGTCATGTTATTTATAATTATAAAATCTAGTCTAAGTCAGCTTAGAGGTATACACTTTTTATCTTGATTAATAATAAGGTATTGATCGGAAATTTCAAAATGACCCAAAGAACTGCATAGTTAGGTTTAATCTGGATTAGACCACGGTTCGGTAAGGTCCGGTCTTATACTTTAAAAAAAAAAAATTGGTCCGCTCATAGATAATGTGAAGTAAAAAATGAACAGTCTATTTTCTAAACGGTTATGTAAAAAAATTATCAGTGCGGTCGCGGTTCATCCTTAAATTCAAAAAATGGTCCACTTATTGAATCAGTATAATATTGTATATTTAATTTGAGAATTGGCGTAAATTTATAAAAAAAATTTGAGATGGCTAAATTGATTTTTTCTTCACGAAAAATTTGTTTTGTAATAAATAACATATAGTTATAAAAAAAATTGTTGGGTGGAGATACGGCCCACCGAATTGCACCTATGCATGAAAGTTTTACTACATAATGTTGGAAAAAAATAAAATTAAGTATGAAAAAATTTAAACAATGCCGTCATTTAGCTTCATTTATAATCAAGGAAAGAAACAACTATAAATTTAAATCTAACTGCAAGTATTTGTTATTCATAAAATGAGTAATTAATAATTTTAAACATAACTAACAAAATATTATATAATATGTATAATTTGTTTAATTTTATCACTAAAGAAAATTTTTTTAATTAAAATAATGTATTTTATAATGATTCTTTAATAATAAAATAAATAATTATATTTATAAAATTTTTATAATAATTAATAAAGTATCTCATAAATACATAATTTTACATTAAGTTTATTTATGAGTAAATTTTTAGATATTTTTGTCAATATTAATTTCAAATATTTATTGAACTTGTTTTAAATATAAGACCAAATGCTAAAAACAATTTCTATAAATGTATTATTTTTAAAATTTATTAATTTTAAATTTCAGTGAATTTTAATTATATTTTTACTATTCAGATTCGATTTTTATTTTTTGTATCGATCCGGTACTGTCTGAAAGTTTATTTTAATTAATGATTCAGTTTGCTAAGGTACGATCTATATTTTTATCCGCTATTATTTAGTAATTTTTTTGAGTTAATATTTTTTAATTTTAAATTCATATAATGGGTCTCTTTTAATATTTCAGAACGGTTCGGTCTGTTTCTTGATATTTTGGACTATGCGGACATTTAAAATGATCATACAATTTTCTATATTTGATTTCAATATTTTAGGCAATCTGCATTAAACATAATTTTGTGGCATTTATATAAAAAATTAAATAAATCATAGATTTTAATTTATCTATAAGGATTAAAACAATCGTATTAAAATAATTATAAATAAAATATATAAATATACATTTTTTTTTTTACAATATTGTTAAATTTAATTTAAATTAAAAATTAAAATAAGATTTACAAACATTTTAAACAATAATATTAATATAGTATATCCGGCCAATTTCCATCCTGCCTCATATTGCCAAATTATTTGAATCTCTGGTCTATTCCAGTATAAAGCGAAGTCTTAACCATATCATCATTGATGAACAACATGGTTTTCGTCCAGGTAAATCTACCGTATCCTGCAATTTGTCCTTTACAACTTTTATTTTAAACAGCTTCGAAAAAGATTATCAAGTTGATGCTGTCTTTACGGACTTCAAAAAAGCTTTTGATACAATTGACCATCGTCTACTTGTATCTGAGCTTAAAATTCTTGGTATTGGTGACCCCTTACTTTCCTGGTTAGAGTCCTACCTTGCATCAAGAAAACAATATGTTTTTGTCAATGGTGCTAGGTCCAACATTATTGAAGTTCCTTCGGGCGTCCCCCAAGGTGGACACCTCAGTCCTCTGTTGTTTATTCTTTATGTAAACTCTATTAATAATTACCTTTCTAATTCCCATGTCCTCTTATTTGCAGATGACATAAAAATGTTTACAAAAGTAGCTTCTCCCTCTGATTGTTTGTTATTGCAAGCAGATCTTAATATAAGTAAATGTTATATTATGACATTTACCAGGAAGCGCGTTCCTATTTTATACTCCTACTCACTAGATAGTACCATGTTAGAGCGTGTATTTCAAGTAACTGACCTGGGATTCCACCTGACTCCTTCGCTATCTTTTGACGTTCATATTAACTTTATAGTTAGCAAAGCCTTAAAAGTTTTAGGATTTTTAAAACGACATACTAACCTCTTTACTTCTCCACATTGTTTACGTTCCCTCTATTTTTCACTCGTTCGCTCTATTTTAGAATACGGAGTGGTTGTGTGGCATCCTTACTTAGCTAAAGATCAACTCCGTATTGAAAGAGTACAGAATCGCTTTATATCTTACGCCGCTTATTTACTCAAAATTATGCACCCCCCTCATGATTACTCCATTATTCGTTCCACACTTAATATCCCTACTCTTAGTTCCAGGAGATTTGATGCAGACCGTTCATTTATCGATGCTCTCCTTAATGGTCTAATTGATGCACCAGACCTTTTGTCTTCTATATCCTTTCGTGTTCCATCCTATCCCACTAGAAATCACTTTCCCTTTCATGTTCCCTCTCATCATACCTCCTATAATAATAATAATCCAATACACAGAATGCTACGCTCTCTCAATAATACTTAGTTTTTTGGTTACATTTACTTTTATAAAAATTTAACTGTCTAATATAAATTTATATCTATATTATATTTATCTTATAAATCTTAATTTATTGTCATCATTATTTTGTTGTCATAGTTTCTTACTCTATGTTTTACATATATGCATGTACATTATTATTATTATTTTTTTTTCTCTTCTTTTTGTTATATTATGTTATATATTTAGGTTACCATAATATTATTCCTGTAAATTGCCGTTTGGCGTTAAATAATTAAAATAAAAAATAAAATAAAAAATATTAGTATGTAAATGATATCCTATGTAATGAAGAATTACATATCCATAATGAATTTAAAAGTAACAATTTCAACTTTTTTTTTAAAGAAATATACAGATTTTAAAAACAACACTACTTATTAATACATCTTTAACATTGAATAACACTCTTATCAACTTCAACATCAACACAATTTACCATATTATCATAAATTTTTATACAATAACATTATTTTAATACTTGTTATATTTTGAGTTAACGTGAATTTGGTGACCATTTTTGTGAATTCCTTATATAATTTATTTTATTTATTTATTTTGAGTGATTTTTAAATATAACCTAATGATGACTTCGTGCCATAATATTATTATATTAGTATTTATAATACTACAGGCACTTTAAATTAAATTGTATAGTATACTTATTATTTATTATAATTAAGCATTAAACTAAACTGAATAAAAAATTGTATTAAATTTATGTCACATTTCACTATGTAAAATGTTGCACCATATTTAAAAACATGTGTATTCACCTTTTGATAACCACTGAGGCGAATTTATTTAAACGTTCACCAATACTTTGGAACATGATGAGGCCTAGTGGTATACCAACCATTGCGTAAGCCATGCAAAAGGCTTTACCACCTATAGTTACTGGTGTAGAATGACCATAGCCTAATAGAATAGACAATAAATACGTGTTTTAAACATGTTTTTTATCAGATATTATTATAATTGTGTATTTAATCTATGTACTGATTTTGATGCGAAAGAACAAATTTCTTACCAATCATGGCCAATACGACCGTTGAAAAATAAAAAGCTCCAGCAAACTTCCATTGCGGACCAGCTTTATGAGGTTTATTCTCTATAATAGCCACTTCCATCATTCGGTAATCATCACTGCTAATGTTATACTTTCTAACCAAAGCAGCTTTAAGTTCTATGTAAATAATAATATTTAATCGTATTATTAATAAGTTATGATTTCAAAACAATATTTTTTGAATTATTCAATTTAATTAATTGTTTATTTTAAATTTAATTTCAATCAGGACAGCCGTAAAACTAACAGAATGGAGGAAGGTGTAAAACAATTATTTTTTGCCGATTGAACAATTTTTTTGAAGCAAAGTTTCTTAAAGTAAATTTGAAAGGGTCATAAATAAAAATGTACGGCTGTGGATCCATCAAGTGCAATGCACATTGCACTTGAGCATAAATTCGTATGTTAGATAAAAACTGCTGGTTAAACTTTATTTTATTGAGTTTAATGTTAACACAAAAATAAATCAGTCTACACTTAACCATTAAATTAATTATTTTATTAAGTTAAAACGCCAAACTAATACCTCCCAATCGGCAAGTGGTTGATCAGTTAAATTTACATCTAAAAAACCCAGCACAGGGGGGTCGCGGCACAGTGGTGACGTGGCATAGATGGATCAAGTATAATGATATCTGACAGTGATTAAAATCACTATAAAAAAAAACGCTTCGATGCAAATCTTTAGATAGTGTTTAATTTTAAAAAATTGGTGGATTATTCCAAAAGCTACATGATCTGCTAGTTCATTATTAATATCCTAATTAAGATAAAGTATGTCGAATGAAAAAGGGATTATTAAAAAATATTATTTCATAAAAAAATATTGTTGATCCATACACTTTTCAATATGTCATAGCATAATAAAATAAAAAAAAATGTAAAATACAAAATCGAAAATTTTCACACAAAAATAGCATTTGGTAGCCATTTTCACCGTGAAGATAAAATAAAGTATGAAATTTTTTTTTTCATGATAAAGTATATTACATTAGATTTAATTTAAGATATATATAAAAGTGTCAGACCTTCCGAAACATTTTCAAAAATCAAGTTGAAAAAAATAATTTTTTGTGAAAAAATTGTCATTTTAAATCCCCCCCTGTGGGCAAGTAAAGGGTCACATATAAAAAAAAATATACCAAATGAAAGATAATGATATCGTCCATCTATATAAAAAAATATTATATTGATTCGGTTATTTTTAAAAAAGTTATAGCAGTTTTAAGTAAAAAAAATTTAAAACATTTCGAAAATTAGCGATTTTTAAATTTGTAATTTTTTTGGAGGTTTCCCCCATTTACGGGGAACGAGGGAAATTTTTTTTGACGTATCATTGAAAGAAATCGGTTCAGCGAGAGCTGAGAAAAAGTGGTAACAAACACACAAAAAAAAAAAAACACATCTTAGTAAAACCAATACCTTCTCAGCTTCGCATCGAAGCTAAAAGACAGAAAATTTCAGCTTCAAATATTGATAATGAAGAAATTGCAGATTTAGTTAGAAAACTAATAACAATAAAAACGCCTGTAAATTGTAGCAAATAATATAAGTAGCGTATAAAATATATCATCCTAAAAAATAGATGGAGCTAGTCAAGTAAAAAATTATGAAATCGTATTTTTACTGCAATGCAGTAAAGAATCTAAGAGATATGAAAATTATTTTATAAATTCCACCACTTAATTAAAGAATACAAGGTGGGTATACATTTGTCTATAGGAAATTTAACATCTCAAGAGATATTAATCATAACTAATAAATTGAAATTTTCATTGTATCATCGTCATTTAAATACTCATATACATTTTTTGAAAAATTTTAAAGAAAAGAGTTTTAAAATTCTTTTAATGTTTTTGATCATCTGTGGTGGAAAAATGATTTTGAATATTTATCACGAGACTATCGAAACATTCTGTAAAAATATTAAAGGATTATAACATAGAAATCGTAGTTCCTTAGGTTTGTTTAACTAGTGAAGTCTTATTGAAAAAAAAGAAAATTGATATTTTATCAGTATACAATAAAATTTCTTATCCTTTAATACCATCGAATTTATCATAATTGTATTTGATTTCTTGGTGGCTAATATCTACTAAGAATACCATTTATGTAAATTAGAAGCAGCTGCATGTGCATAGACAACGTGGTATTTTTAGGCAAATTATAAATGTTTCCAATATCAATTAACAATACGGTGAATAAATTACCCCGAAATATGAATGATGCTATTGCTTTTATGCTCACATAAAAAAAGGCATTAATAAATTACACTCATCACAATATTACTATTCACTACATCAATTTAAAAAATATGTTGATATTGTAATATTTAAAAATTTTACTGGTCAATTATCAGTTCAGTATTATTGCTTTTTGAGACATTGGTATTTGAAGATTTAGAAAAGACGAGGAGAGGGGTAGTGTTTAGTGACGTATTATTTTTAACATAAAACACAGATTAGCAACCCGCTCGCAAATAGCTAAACATTATATTATTATTATTATTATTTATACTTATTTTTAATTAAAAATTACGTTGTTAATTTCTTAATAGGTTTTTTTATTCACTCATTCAAACCACCGTTAAGAAGCTTTTCTTCTATCATGCGTCAAAATCAGACACACATATTTTATTTAAACTGTGTGACAATTTTAGAAAGCATTATTTCTCTAGAATTTTGTATGCATATATTTTTTTGTGTTATAAGAATGTTTGCCTGGAAAGAAAACTGAAGAAGTAAACTTTTTGTCGTACTTAAATGTACAATATTGTATAATCCGTATAAGTACTTAAATTTAGCTTAAAAACAATTTTAGGTGCAATACTAATTTTGCTTACCCAATAAATGGCTCCATCTTTTTCTTTCGGTCTCTGATTCTAAAGCGTCGAAAACAGCTGCTCCGACCAGTAAATATGTAAATGTACATACAACCAAAGATAAGGTACGCACATTTTGTCGTTTCATTATTGATATCGAATCATTAAAAAGAAGATACTATAAAAATAAAGCTCAAATTAGGCCAAACATTTTATTGTTCACTGATTTGTTGATCAATTTAAAACAATTTAAATAAAAGTTCTATGGTAAATTCGCAATAAAAAGTATACCAACAGTAATTATATATTAATTTATATCTTTAAAGAAAGATACACTTGCCCATTAACAATTGTTAAAATAATAATTAATAATTTGTAGTAAAATTAACTATTTTTTTTTCTGTTGTACAGTATACGGTAATCATTTCACAAATTGTAATTGTATTGTAAGTCGTAAAGACTATTAAACAAACATTGAGTTTCACGTACTTTGTTACCTGGTATTTAGTGGTGACATTTTTCCCGAAACACATATAAGACATTTTTTAGTAATTATAGTGGCTATTTGATTTGATTTGATTTAATTTTAATTTTAAATTTAATTATAAATAAAATAAATATTCTATTTTTACTATATTTTAGCATACTCTATGTGTGTGTCAGATCCTATAAACATATGTTAGATCATAATTTATTCTATATTCTATTATTGAGTTAGTTAAATAGTAATCATTTATTTTAACTAAATTGTTATTATTTTTTTATTTCAAATAACGTCAAATTAAACCTTATTCAACGCCAATATCTCTATAATTTTTAACAAAAAATTGAGAGATTGAGTAAATTTTAATTTTTAATAAAAATTAATTTTAGTTGGTAGTAAACATATGTTTATCACCAACAGTTGGTTTTCCATGGGTATGGGTAATGACGTCAATGATTTTAAAAGAACTATCAATATTTCAGAATAATACAAAAATAGACTGCAGAAAATGATATAATGTGTGTTTATTTTAAACAATACATTTTAGAATTCAATTATAATGGAATAACTATAAATTTTTTTAATAAATTCAATAAAAATAATATTATATCAGTTAAAAATAAATAATTATTATTAATAGCGATCGCCATTATCTAATTATGAGTTTAGGTATGTATAATTTTATAACTAAAGGTTTTCAACAGGCAATTAAAATTATTTATATTTAATCGGTCATAGCTTATAAATTAGTTATATTAATTAATAATAATTAATGAATGTTTGAAGTTTAAATCGTTAAGCCGAATAATTAGATCAATGTCTATTAAAATTTTATTTGTAATATAATATAAATAACTAAGTGAAAAACCATAAATATGTACCTTATACACCTTGGAGGGGTTATAAAATTATAAGCCTCGTTCATATTTTATAAAGTTATTTCAACGGCTAGATATGAGTGGCATATTAACTGACGGCAAACACATTCTTTTCAAAAATTAAGGTAGATTTCTATACTTATACGTTTGAGTTGAACATTAATTCTAAACGTAAATATAATATGTTCAATTAACCATGAAAGAGATTAAAAATAAATTGGCCTTTAAATATGGAGTTTTCAAATTTATTTTACACTCAGTGTAATAATTTTATTCTGATGATATAATAAAAAATTATAAAGTTAAAGCTTGAAATATGATAAGTTCTTATATCAACCTAATATATCGTATATATGTATGTATTCGGTGTAAAGTATATCTGAATTTGTTATACTTTAGAGGAGTCTGAAACCCCACTTGCATTTTTCCTTACAAGAATAACAATGTTACTATTACTAATTTCGAACATTGATGCAATGCTTCCTTTAATGTACATTGAAAACTATTTTTTTATTTGCTAATCAATTTAATAATAAATGAAAATATGGTAATACAACTTTTTTTATTCTTGCATCAATATTTAAAACACTGCTTAAAAAATAATTATGAATTCAACGCTACATTTACTTATAAGTGAATTACAATGTTTAACATTAGTAATTTCGATTTTTTTTAAATTATTTTATATAAAACTGTCACAAATTTTTGAAAAATTGATTAATAAATACAACTTTTTTTTTAAATATATCTTAAGTAATTTTCTATCATTTGGTACATTTTTATAAAATCTGACTCTTTACATGACCACAGGGAGATTCAAAATGGCAATCGTTCTACAAAAAATTAACTTTTCGAACTTAACTTTTGAAAATGTTCCAGAAATATTGACACTTTTTTAAAGATTCAAAAAAAAAAAAAGATCATAAATTGAAGCTCATGTATGAAATAAGATTTTTATTTTAAGTAGTAATCTACTTAGAATAATACTATATAGGAAATGATCAATTGCTTATTAGGTAATTGTCAGTAAATAAGTACAATAATACAGTAAATTTATAATGGAACAGTAACTAGGCCGGATTAGAGGGTCTTGGAGACATGGTCACAAATTTTGATGGCCTATTTAGGTATGAGCGACTTAAACGTTAAATCACAATAAATATATTTTAGATTTGAAATTTTTTTATTTATTGTATCAACATGAATCTGTTCAATGATTATTATTTATGAAAGACTATTTATTGTTTCGTTCTGAGTTCAACGCCGGATTTATTTATAAATGAGAGTACATTGATTAAGAAATAAATAATTAGAACGTAAAATAAATGAAAATATTTCTTTGAATACACAAAATATAAAATTAAAATGTAGTATTATTTTCTTGTTTAAATTTGGAACTGATACAGTCAGAATGTCACTTAAAACTAATTAAATTGTTATTTACCAATATTTTTTTTACAGGATATAAGTACTTTCATTTGTATTCTCGTCAAATATGAATCCAAGATTGGTGTAACTGGTTTTAATAATTTCATCGACACTATTGAAAATGATTTCATGTAAAAAATTATAAAATGTGAATTGTTCTATGGATTTTTCTTTTTCTTCTAATTGTTCAGAATACTGCATTTTCAAACTATTTTCTATTAATTCATCAGATATTTCTTCAAAACAAAATTTCATTAAAATGGTTTCCGAATCACAGATTAAATAAAATAATTCATCGTTAAATTCTAGAAATAAATAATTTAATTCAAAAGCATTTAATGCTCCTTCGATTTCAAAAGAGTTAAAGTTATTCAATATTTTAATAATTTCATACAATGTTGTTATATCACTATAATCAAAAGAGTCCATGAATTCTAATGCGCTAAGAAAGCGTTTTGATACCTCCTTTACTTTTTCAAAAGTTAATATGATTGTTTCCAAACATTTTTTTTGAGTCACCAACTCTTCATTATAATTTTTATGCATCCATTCTCTGTTCATAAAAAATAACATTATACCAAGCCAGTGTAGAATTTTCGCGTACTCATGAGTCAACAATTGCGAAGCCATTATTATTTTATCATAAGCATTATTTTCAGTAACAATATTCTCTTTGTTAGAATCAGTTATGAGTAAATCATTTGTTTCAAAGGATGTACCATTTTCGATATCATACCACTTGTATTCATGATTGAACGACCATTTTTCTGCCTTAAGAAGTGAATTCAATATATTAACAATGTTTGTCTGATCACATGATGTCGATAAAAATACATTGAACAAAATGAGCGACAATGCGATAATAGTGAACGACTTCATAATAATTTTAAATACAATGAACAAAGTTTTATACAAAATTTATTATTTTTATTAGAGAACTATTAAAAAATATACTATTTAACTGTTTTGTTAAAAATATTTTTTAAATCTTCAATACTTAATCATTTTACGTTGGATTAAACTGCTACAACTATTTAAAATAGAAATTTTTATTATAGTATATTTTTAACAATATTGCTACATATTTTTTTATCGTTTAAATTCTTAAGATAAATAGTAGTGTTTCTTTTAATGTATTTGCTGTAATATAATAAGAAATTTATATGATTTATTTTTTTGTTCATAAATAATTTGACACTTTGCATTTTTTTATCTATTAAAAAGAAGCATTAACCGCAATGCTTCTTCGCTACATTTCTATAGTGTAATATAATTAATATTTTTACAATATTATAAGAATAATATGATATGCTTGATATATCAATAAAATATATTTTTGCCTTCAATTAATGATGTTTAATATGAAAGTATTATAAGTTGTATTATAATGAATATAAAACTGTACATTGTTATATAAATATATTCTAGTTTACTTAAGGCTAAGAATACAATTAACTTATAAACTGACTACCAATTGATATTAAATAATTATAAATTATTATGAATATTATAACCTAAATAATTATATATATATATATATATATATAAAAATTATGTGTCTCGGACTAACGTAAAAACGGTATTTCATTAAAATTATGTAAATACTGCTATAATTAAAAATTTTTAATTTAGTTTGAAATTGATATTCAATAATGTAATATTATAATTTTTACGAAGAAATTATAAAAAACCTAAGGTATCTACAAAAAAAAAAAAATTATATTTATTTGATTATTTAAAAAAAAAATTATGGCAGTTTTAAGGAAAAAAAAATTCGCAAAAAAATGTCGAAAATAACAGATTTTTAAAATTTTTTGTTGATTTACCTCATTTACGAGAAATGAGGCCATTTTTTTCAATTTTGTGGATAATGTCTTCGACTATATACAATTTGTTTTCTTTTGACATATTATTCATAAAAAATAGTCCAGTGAGAGCTGAGATTAAGTGTTCACAGATACATAAAAAAAAACATCATAGTAAAATTAATACCTTATCGGCTTCGCATCGAAGCTAAAAATATGATGTAGTTGTATATTTCATTACTTCTATGATAAACGCGTATTAAAATTAAAGAGTTATATACAGAACTTTTCAACATTTAAATTTTGGTTAATTACGAAAAATACTTTGATTCATAAGGGATTTTCATCATAGTCGAGAATATACTTCCCTATACCAAATGTTCGCACTGATTTTAAATGTGTAATTAGATTTATTCTACAACTCTAATGTGTTGAGATTATACTAATTAATAAAAACACTTATAAAAAAATTGTTATGTTTAACTAAAATACTAATACTATCTGTGTGACATAGTTTTATTTTTATAAAGATAAATTTTTCATTTTTATTTCTATGACTTAATTTTTGTGGGACGATGTGGCC